AGTGAAAGTTGTCATCAATGAATGATTGCTTTGTTTCAGATGCATTGTTTTTAAGAAGATATGCAAGAAAACAGACATTCCAAAGGTTAGTAATTTATGCGTATATTTTTTCAGACTTAAAATAAGGAAATATAGAATAACTGGAAACATTTTCTTAAGCTCGATATGTAGTTATTGGACTAAACGAATAATGTTCATCATGACGATATTGAAAATTTAACAATGGCGTAGGTTCTATTCCGATCATCTATTAATGAATTTGCGCGAGCGTGTTAACTAAGGCTTAGGGTAAAAATCGATAGAGTATACGTCGATCATTAAAATTCGACAATATATATAATCACATACAGATTGTTGATTAATCGAAGATTTCTTATTCTAGTTTTTATTTGCAATGGTAAAAGATCACTAGTAAGAGGATTATCTATGATCTGAACTTGTACTTCTAACTACATGAATAAAAAAGTGGTTTTTAATTACAAAAGTCTTCTAGAGGTTGGCTTAATATTTCCTATTTGTATTGCATAACGCTTTTGTCAGTTGATTCATGTAACCAATCTGCCTTTTCCTAAAAGAAAAAAATGGATATGTTTTCATTGTGGTTTGAAATGGAATCGCACTCTTCTACGCATCCAAATTATAAATATTGATTCATTCAGTCGTAAATTCTTTGCATTTCAAAGTATTTGAAGACATTCGACAATGAATTTGCTTGAAATATTGTCTTACATAAAATTCTACTGCGAGAGTTATATAGATTGGGATGTGGTATCACAATGAAAATACTTGTGAAGTTGACTCTCTCCCTCTCTCCCCTTCGGGTACCTTCAATTTTTTATTTTAAAATGGTGAATATATCTCCACTAAGGTTATCATCTCAATATAAGTTAAACGATCAAGTCGTTCCAAAGATGTCGATTTGAGTTTAGTGTAATGATTTATTGATAATGAAACAAATAACATTCTAAGAATCTAATTTAAAATGTGGCGCAATTAGAAGACATTATCGTTTTTATTAGTACGTTGGACTACTAGTGTGCAGCGCAGCAATAAGGTTACTACTCTAATTCATGGCTTCACTCTCTTGAACAATATTGTTTTCTATATTCTTTAGCCTGAAATCCCTATTCATAAACCTCCAGTTCATCGTTTTCTACCATCCGAATCTGACGATGGTACAGATGAAATTGGTTCATTTTTGGATCCGAAATATCAACATATAGTAAATATAAAGCAATATTCGAATAAAAAATTTAACTAATTCTAAATTTTCATTTAGGAAAGTCTCTTGAATGATATAACAGATAGCAATATAGCAACTCCGAATACAGTCGATCCTAGACGCATCGAAACGCAATTTACTTGTGCAGGGTCCATACCCAAATCAGCTTACGACCATAAAAGTAATGGGCAAGAGAAGACTAGGATTTAGTAATTTTTGATTTGTTGGGCCCTGGTAGGAAAAGTGTGCATATGCAGCATTCTACTGTCGGCTACTCAGTTAATGCAATTTCTCAATAATCATTTACTCGAGAGGGTGGTAAATTCCTATTTCCAGGAAATTCAAAATGCAGTACCCACTATAATAAATTTGTAACACGCAGATAAAGGTGTGCATACAAACGATGTACATCGTTTAGGTTTTTATCAAGTCATATTATACATTTTAATATAATGTATGAATCGTTTATGTATCAGTATCAATTCTGTCTATATCCATATGAATATCTATAGGTGGTATACAGATTTGGTGGGTTGAGTTGGGTTGGGACAAGTAGCGATAAATACATCGGTATAAAATACCTTTTGCAGATATATATATATAACGGGTGCGGCAGGATAAATGGCGGTCTAGTGTTTTCGCGACATCTTCCTTATTTTCCATCCAATTCGTCCCTTTTTTTGTTGAAATGTGCGCCGTCTATCGCTCTACAAATCCCCATA